CAGGAGACTGAGGCAGGAGAATCCCTTAAACCCAGGAGGCAGAGGTTGCAGTCAGCTGAGATTACGCCACTGCACTCCAGTCTGGGTGACGAAATGAGATCCTTTATGACATTCTAGAAGAGGCAAAACTAGCAATAGTAAAAGATCAGCGTTTGCCAGGGATTTGGAGGGGTAGAAGAGGGATGGAGCACAGGGCATTTTTAGGGCAGTGAAACTATTCTGTATGATGCTATATGACATGCATTTATCCAAACCCGCAGAATGGACAATACTAACAGTGAACCCTAATGTAAACTATGGACTTGAATTAATAATATTGTGTCAATATTGGTTCATTAGTGATTACAAATATACCACAGGCCAAGCACAGTGGCTCACGCCTGTAATCCCAGCACTTTGGGAGGCTGAAGTGGGCAGATCACATGAGGTCAGGAGTTTGAGACCAGCCTGGCCAACATGGTGACACCCTGTCTCTACTAAAAATGCAAAAATTAGCAGGATGTGGTGGCAGGCTCCTGTAATCCCAGCTACTAGGGAGGCTGAGACAGGAGAATCACTTGAACCCAGGAGGGGGAGGTTGCAGTGAGCCATGATCACACCATTGCACTCCAGCCTGGGCAATGAGAGCAAAACTCCATCTCAAAACAAACAAAAACCACAATAGAACTTAGTCACTGGTTAGATATGGCTCTTGGAGACCAGGAGGGACCAAAGATAACTTCAAACCCTGGATCTGGGTTGAGCACCTGAATAAATAAAAGGGGGAATGCACTAAGCTGGGGGACAGTGCAGGATCAGGGCATGGGATATCTGTGGGAATCCCCCTATCAGGAGATGCCTACAGGTGAGGAACAGGCCTTGTGCTCAAAACAGACGTACAAATTTGGGGGTCACTGGCCACTGAAAAGTAGAGGCAAGGGGGTAACACCTTGGTCTAGATATGAAAATCCTTCGTAAAGATGTCAGTTCTCCTTCATCTCTAAGTGGATCACAATAAAAAATGTTAAGAGTTTTCTGCAGGGAGGTAAGGAGGGACTAGAAAAGCTGGTCATATGGCAAATTAAACAAGTAGGAAACTCTGAAAATAAAAGACATAATGAGTAGAGATTAATCCTACCAGATATTAAAACACAACAAATCTATGATTAAAAGGCAATAATGAAAAAGGGTTACTGACACATAGAGATCAATGCAAGATAAAGAAATTTAGAAACATCCAAACACCTGCAGTAGTGGACGATAAAAGTCCCATTTCTAATCTGTTGAGAAAAGATGGGTTATTTCATAAAAGTTATTCAAAAGTTATTCAATAAGAAGAAAAGGGAGCAGTCTGGAAAAAAATTAAGTTGGATTCATAATTTGTATCTTAGAAAAAAATACAGATGAACTTGATTTATAGGCCTGGAGTATGTTGTTCCTAATGAAAAAAAAGCATTTAAAAAGGCCAGGTGTGGTGGCTCACGCAGGTAATCCCAGCACTTTGGGAGGCCAAGGTGGGTGGATCACTTGAGGTCAGAGGTTAGGAGTTCAAGACCAGCCTGGCCAATATGGTGAACTGTCTGTACTAAAAATACAAAAAAAAAAAAAAAAAAAAAGGCCAGGTGTGGTGGCAGGTGTCTGTAATCCCAGCTACTCTTGAGGCTCAGGCAGGAGAATTGTTTGAACCTGTGAGGGTAGAGGTAGTGAACCGAGATCACGCCACTTCACTCCAGCAGGTGAAAGAGTGAGACTCTGTCCCAAAGATAATAAATAAAAATTTAAAAAGAAATTAAAAAATAAAAACTCAAGGTCTGGTGTGGTACCTCACACCTGTAATCCTGGCATTTTGGGAGCCTGAGGTGGGTGGATCTCTTGAGCCTAGGGGTTTGAGGCTGCAGTGAGCTATGATTGTACCACTGCACTCTAGCCTGGGCAACAAAGCAAGACTCCATCTCTAAAAAACAATAAAAAATAACTATCAACGCTCAGTATCTAAATGTACAAAAACGAAAACAAAAATACAGCCAGGAGCCGGCTGGTTGTGGTGGCTCATGCTTGTAATCCCAGCACTTTGGGAGACCGAAGCGGGTAGATCACTTGATATCAGGTGTTCAAGACCAGCCTGGTCCACATTGTGAAACCCCATCTCTACCAAAAATGCAAAAATCAGATGTGCACCAGTAGTCCCAGCTACTTGGAGGGTGAGGCACAAGAATCACTTGAACCCAAGAGACAGAGGTTGTAGTGAGCGGAGATCACACCACTGCATTCCAGCCTGGGCTGTAGAGTGAGACTTAAAAAAAAAAGAAAATACAGCCAGGAGCTAAAGGAGGAATTTTTGTATCATCCCAGTGTGGAAACAGTCTTTTTAACTATGACACAAAACCCAAAGTCATAAAAGTACATTTTTTACTACATTAAAAATCCATATTGTTTCAAAATGATGGACTGAAGAAAATATTTACAATTAACAGCTTAAAGGAGTATTTTTCTCCATACATAGAAAAAAATCCTGGTCTGGGCATGGCAGCTCATGCCTATAATCCTAGCACTTTGGGAGGCCAAGGCAGGTGGATCATGAAGTCAGGAGTTCAAGACCAGCCAGGCCAATATGTTGAAACCCCATCTCTACTAAAAATACAAAAATTACGGCCGGGCGTGGTGGCTCACGCCTATAATCCCAGCACTTTGGGAGGCCGAGGCGGGTGGATCATGAGGTCAAGAGATCGAGACCATCCTGGTCAACAAGGTGAAACACCATCTCTACTAAAAATACAAAAATTAGCTGGGCATGGTGGTGCATGCCTGTAGTCCCAGCTACTCGGGAGGCTGAGGCAGGAGAATTGCTTGAACCCAGGAGGCAGAGGTTGTGGTGAGCCGAGATCGCACCATTGCACTACAGCCTGGGTAACAAGAGCAAAACTCCGTCTCAAAAAAAAAAATTAAAAATAAAAATACAAAAATTAGCTGGGCATGGTGGTGCACGCCTGTAGTCCCAGCTACTCAGGAGTCTGAGGCAGGAGAATTGCTTGAACCCAGGAGGCAGAGGTTGCAGTGAGTCGAGATCGTGCCATTGCACTCCAGTCTGGGTAACAACAGAGAAACTCTGTCTCAAAAATAAAAAAAATAAAAATACAAAAATTAGCCGGGCACGGTGGCAGGCGCCTATAATCCCAGCTACTCAGGAGGCAGAGGCAAGAGAATCACTTGAACCTAGAGGGTGGAGGTTGCAGTGAGCTGAGATCATGCCACTGCACTCCAGCCTGGGTGACAAAGTGAGACTCCATCTCAAAACAACAACAACAACAACAACAACACAGCTGTAGCAAGAAATGCATGAATACAAAAAACCTCTTCACCAGCCTGACCAAAACAGTGAAATCCTGTTCTCTACTAAAACGACAAAAAATAGTCGGGCGTGGCAGCACGCACTTGTAGTCCCAGCTACTCAGGAGGCTGAGGCAGGAGAATTGCTGGAACCCAGGAGGTGGAGGTTGCAGTGAGCTAAGATTGCACCACTGCATTCCAGCATGGGCAACAGAGTGAAACTCCGTATCAAAACAAAACAAAACAAAAATTAGCCAAGCATGGTGGCAGGTGCCTGTAATCCCAGCTACTTGGGAGGCTGAGGCAGGACAATCGCTTGAACCCTGAAGGTGGAGGACACAGTGAGCCAAGATCATGCCACTGCGCTCCAGCCTGGGCAACAAAGCAAGACTCTGTCTCAAAAAAAAAGGGAAAAAAAATGGCTGGGTGTGGTGGCTCACACCTGTAATCCAAGCACTTTGGGAGGCTGAGGCAGGCAGATCACCTGAGGTCAGGAGTTTGAGACCAGCCTGGCCAATATGGCAAAACCCTGTCTCTACTAAAAAGACAAAAATGAGCTGGGCATGGTGCTGCAAGCCTGTAATCCAAGCTCCTCGGGAGGCTGAGGCTGGAGAATTGCTTGAGCCGGGGAGGTGGAAGTTGCAGTGAGCTAAGATTTCGCCATTGCATTCCATCCTGGGTGATAGAGCAAGACTCCATCTCAAAAAAAAAAAAAAAGAGAATCTTCTTCAAAATACATTCATAAGTGCACCACAAGATGCAGGGAGTTCTGGTATTTAATAAAAACTGGGTGGGAAATATATACATATCTGGTGTGGTGTCTTCTTCTCACGAAATACATTTTCCACACCAATTTTCCAATACCAATGGGGTGTTGAACAATTCAGTTCCATCGTGACACTAACTCCTGGCATTAGCACAGACCCCAGAGGTTAAGGCTTCAGTACCCCAAGGCTAACCCCACTTCAAATACCAGCCAAAAATGGGGTGCCCAGGCAACTGACACTTCTCTGGCAAACTACAAATTTAGGTTCCCCCAACTCCTCCTCAGGTTTGATAATGCAGTAGATGACTACAGAACTTTGAACAGCACCTCACTTCCTAGGGTACTACCTGTTTAATACGAAGGAAACAATTCTGAAACAGCCAGCTGGAAGAGTTGCACAGGGCAAGGCACTGCGGGCGTGGTGCACAGAGCTTCTGTGCCCTCCCCACCCTCCCGGCACATCCACCTGTTTCTTTAACCCAATCTCTAGTCTCCCAGGCTGCATCATCTCACCTCGTTAGCATAAACTCAGGTGTGGTCTTGTTAGGATTAATGGAAATGTGGGGGTTGCTGTCAAGAAAAGACAATTCTATCACTTAGAAAATTACAAGGGTTTCAGGAGCTCTGTCAGGAACCAAATACATGTATGTGTGTCTTGAGACAGGCTCTCACTCTGTCGCCCATGCTGGAGTACACAGGTGTAATCATAGCTCACTGTAGCCTCCAACTCCTGGACTCAAGTGATCCTCCCACCCCAGCCTCCCAAGTAGCTGGGACTACAGGCATGCGCCAACACACTCAGCTAATTTTTAAATTCTTTTTTGTTGAGATGAGGTCTCATTATGTTGGCTGAGGCGGGCAGATTCCGAGGTCAAAAGATCGAGACCATCCTGGCCAGCATGGTGAAACCCCGTCTCTACTACAAATACAAAAAAATTAGCTGGGCATGGTGGCACGTGCCTGTAGTCCCAGCTACTCGGGAGGCTGAGGCAGGAGAATTGCTTGAACCGGGGAGGCGGAGGTTGCAGTGAGCCGGGATTGTGCCACTGCACTCCAGTCTGGCGCCTAGCAACAGAGTAAAACTGTCTCCAAAAAAAAAAAGAAATTAATCCTTTTGAGTTCCCATGTCTCTTGGGAGGAGGGGGTTGTATTATAATTACAATATTATATTTGATTGCAGCTCAGGGAAGGGATCAAGTCTGATGCCTACGTAAACCTGGTCCTAAAGGCATTTCTAGACTGAATAAAGAGCTGTTTTCCATTCAACTTTTGTTTCCCAATACGTTCGTGGCCCTCTCTTATTTTCTTTGAGAGAGTCTCACCCTGTCATCCAGGCTGGAGGGCAGTGGCACAGTCTCAACTCATTGCAACCTCTGCCTCCCTGGTTCAAGCCATTCTCCCACCTCGGCCTCCAAGTAGCTGGGATCACAGGTGTGTGCCACCATGCCTGGTTAATTTTGGTATCTTTAGTAGAGACAGGGTTTCGCCACGTTGGCCAGGCTAGTTTTGACCTCAAATGATCCACCTGCCTCAGCCTCCCAAAGTGCTAGGATTACAGGCATGAGCCACCACACCCAGCTCCCTGGTCCTCTTCTAAGGCCTGAGGATACCTCATATCATTTAATCCCATCAACGCTGCGTAGATCTCATTATCCATAGGCATGGATATTACAGAGAGGAAAACTGAGGCTCAGGATAACTGAAGGGGCCAAGCTGTCACTACACACTTCTGAAAAAAGAAAAAAGGAAGGGGCAAGCTGTGACACAGCCTGTGCTCATATGTTAAAACCCTGGTAGACTCCCCCTCCCCACCCCGACCAGAGGTCAAGGATCCAGGCCAGGACCTAAGCACAGCTGGTGTCTTGTGGACATGAATTTATTAGAGGGGACCAGGACCAGCATGGGTAAAGCTGCAGGCTGGGAGGAAGGGGCAGGGGTGGGAGCACGGCTGATGGCGTGTGGGTCAGTGGGCCAGCAGGCGTGACATTCTTCACCCTACAGAGCTTCAGTGCCCAGGGCGTGGCAGAAGCTTTGGGAAAACTGGGGAGAGGAGAGAGTGAGACTCAGAGGGGAAACCCCGCCAAGCTCACACAGGAGGGGCAGCAGCACTTCGATCCCAGGCCCATGGCCCTCCCTCTCATCCTGTTGGTCCTCCCTCCTGCCTCCCAAGCTCCCACCCCAGATGGAAGCTCCTGTCCTGCCCTATCCTGTACTCACTTCGGAGGCAGTAGGTGTCAGGTTCCAGTTGAATCTGGGGAGGTAAGATGAGGAGAAAGTCCCCACCCCAGGTGTTTTTGAACGCTGAGAGTGAATTTTGGGAGGGAAGGCGATGACACTCCGAGGTCAGAGAAGAGCACTTGAGTGACACAGGCTTAAGTGGGTGGCAGCCGGGGTGCTGGGGCAAGCCACAGGGGGAACAGTGGGGTGGTGAGAGGCCAGGGCCCCGGGGAAGGCGGAAAGGGACTTGTGGACAGACCCTCTGAACCCCGCCATGGTGGGGGCGCCGGTCCCGAGTCCAAGCCCAGTGAAATGGCTCCTTTGCCATGACCTGGGAGGAGCATAGTGGACAGTAAGTGGGGTGGGAACCACCAGCCTTTCCCACACCCCAGGCTGCCCCCCCAGCCTCACCTCCTCACAGCACTGGCGGCTCACGACAGCCCGGAAACCCATCCGTGCCCAGAGCTTATCCCTCTGCTGTAGGAACTTCCCCACTCGTAAACACCAATCTCTTCCCAGGGCCCATGGAAAAATCTGACATTTGGGCCCCTCCAGGTCCTCCTCCATGTCATTTGCAAGGTACCTAGCCACAGAAGCACGGGGTCAAGGAGCAGAGGCCACAGCATCACCCTGCCCCATCAGACACCTCCAGCAAACGCCTCCACTCCCTGTCCCCACCACTCACAGGGCCAAGAACAGGCTGCTGTGGGTGTACTCGCTGAGCTTCAGGCGGGCGCGCTGGAAGTAGACCAGCACCATGGCCAGGAGATACTGCAGAGACAGATGGGGAGGCGGGGGATTAGTTATCCTCTGAGGAGAAGGGGCTTGCATCCAGGTTCATTTGTAACCAAGGAGGTTTTGCTGCAGGGAAAGAAAGTCGGGAAAGCAGTGGGGAGGGGTGTGTGAAGATGAGGGGCAAGGGTGAAATGTGAGCCCCTCTCCCTACCTGACCAGGGCACTCAATAAAGTAGCCACATTCAATTCCCACCAACTCAACCTGACCCTCGGGCGACCCCCAGCCTCCAGCCCCACTGTGCTCCCTCACCTTATCTGAAATCCGGAAGCAGGGGTCTTTGGAGAGGAATTCCTGGACAAAACTGTCCTCTGAAGGTAGAGAAGACGGGACGCAGGTTACCACAGCCTCCGTGGAGAAGAGTGGTATCGGAAGCTGCAAAGCTCAAGCCACCACTCAGCCCTTTTTTTTTTTTTTTTTTGGAGACGGAGTTTTGCTCTTGTCCAGGCTGGAGTGCAATAGCACAATCTTGGCTCATTGCAACTTCCACCTCCCTGGTTCAAGCAATTCTCCTGCCTTAGCCTCCCAAGTAGCTGGGATGACAGGCATGTGCCACCATGTCCGGCTAATTTTATAGTTTTAGTAGAGACAGGGTCTCTCCATGTTGGTCAGGCTGGTCTTGAACTTCCAACCTCAGGTGATCCACTCACCTCAGCCTTCCAGAGTGTTGGGATTACAGGTGTGAGCCACTGTGCCTGCCTTCTTTTTTTCTCCCTCTTTTTCTGTTTCCCCCCGCCCCCCCCCCCCGTCTCTCTCTCTTTCTTTCTCTGTCTCTTTCTTTCTTAATATAAATAGAGATGGGGTCTCACTATGTTGATCAGGCTGGTCTTCATCTCCTGGCCTCAACTGATCCTCCCATCTCAGCCTCTCGAAGTGTTGGGATTACAGATGTGAGTCATGGCACCTGGCGCTGAACCCAGTTTCTGAGAGGACCCCCTACCCCCGACCTACCTAAGCTGGGTCACCTCAGAGGGAGAGGGCAGAGGCCTCAGATGGCTGTACAGGCAGATGAGACCCCATACTTCACATCTGCCTTCACACTTGGTCTCACAACCCTCCCATGCTAGCCCCAGAAACTCACCCAGAAGGTTGAGGAAGGCCTGGAGCTCTTCGTGCTGGCGAAAACTGAGGAACCCATTGCCCCCACCTTGCTGGCTGCAGCCCTCCAGCTCTACCTGGGTCATAACTACAGCGGAAGTGGTGGGGTCTTGGGAGTCATCCATCTCATAGGAGGTGGAGATGGAGCAGGGTGACCTGTAGAGAAAGGAGGCTCAGGGTTTACCATGTATCCCCATGACTCCCACGAATCAAAAGGGTGGTGACAAGGGCCAGGACGGTGGAGGGGTGGGTGTGGAGACTTGGGGGCTCAGAATATAAGGCAGCCAGGTTGCAACAGGAGTGTGGAGGCCAGAAAAGCAGCAAAGAGTTGTTGTAGGCTGCAGCACTCCTGCCCTCCTCCTGGCACCCCAGGACAGGCAGAGTAACAGCAGCAACAAGCACTGCTGAGGGCTTCCTAAGTGTCTGGAGCTGTGCTTAAGGGCTTTATCTTATTTCATCCTGGTGAGGAGGTATGTTCAACACAGACCCATTCTCAAACAAGGAAACTGAAGGCTGAGGCCTCACAGCCAGTTAAAAGTGAAGTCCTTGGCCTCCAAAACCCAAAGAGGTTTTGTTTGTTTGTTTGTTGAGACAATCTCTCTCTGTAGCCCAGGCTGAAGTGCAGAGGCACAATCCTGGCTCACTGCAACCTCCTCCTCCCCAGTTCAAGCCATTCTCCACCCTCAGCCTCCAGAGTAGCTGGGATTACAGCCTTGCCACCATGCCCGGCTAATTTTTTTAATTTTTGGTAGAGACAGGGTTTCACTGTGTTGGCCAGGCTGGGCTCGCACTCCTCACCTCAGGTGATCCGCGCGCCTCGACCTCCCAAAGTGTTGGGATTACAGGCATGAGCCACTGTGTCTGGCCAAAAACAGGAAAAAAAAAAAAAAAACAACCAAGAGTTTAACTGCTTCTTTTTCAGGCCCCAACTCACAACCACCCCGACCCCTCACCAAAGCAGAATTGAAAGGGCCACTGATCCCTTACACCGAGGGGAAACTGAGGTCCACAGGGAGGAACGAAATTAGAGAAATACCTGGATTTAGAGCAAGTTGAGATGGGGCCACTTCAAACATTTCATGCTCCTGTCCTAAACCCACCCTCATCCCCGAGAAAAGAGACGCCAACCACCGGGCTGAGAAGAAAGTGCGGTCGACCACCCCAGGGCCAATTTGGGCCTCTTCATGTAGATGCCCATAAGCAGAAGCAGCCCAGCCTCCTCCTGCAGAGAGCCTTACCCGGCCTCAGGAATTGCCCACAGCATAAAACCCAGGCCACCCAACCAGTGCACTTATATACCCTGAGGGCTGCCCGCCCAACGCAGCCCGTCCACCAATCAGGGCCTCCCTGGGGGCGTGGTTTGGCCTAAACCGCCCGCCTCTCTGCCTGTGAACCCAGTCAGCACCCAGCTGCGGCTCCCCAGGGTGAAAGCCTCTCCGAAGTTTCATCAGCTACAAGAGGGGTGAAGGCAGGCCAGCTGGACCCCAGGGCCTGAGATACCATAGGAAGGGCAGGGAGCTAGGATCCGCGTTACCCTCTTGACAAATGCAGCGCCAAGGGGCTGAGCCGAGAAATGAGGCCTGGGCTACCAGGGCCAGGTGGTTGAGTTTTGATTCACTGACTGTGCCTTGCTGGGGCAGGGTCTCTGGCTCTCTGTGGGTGTCTCTGAATTTCACTGAGGCTCCCTGGGTCTCTCTTTTCTTTCTTTTGTCTTTTATTTTATTTTTCCCCTGGTAACACAGAACAAGCTGCCTGGGTCTCACACTTGATCTCAGCCGAAAGGCCGGGAAGCAATAGGCTGCCCGGGTCTCCATGGGCCTCTGAGTCTTTCCGTTTCTTGTTGCCTCTGGTGTCTGGATGTCTCTGGATCCTTTGATCTCTCTGATCTCTGGGTCTCTGGTCTGTCTGTGTTTCATGGTCTCCCCCGGCCACCTCCCAGGCTCCCTGAGGCCAGCAAGGCCTTTCTAGACCAGCTGGTCTGCATCAGGCCATCCTGTTTGTGTGTGTGCATGCATGTGAAGATGGCCTCCCCTAGAAAGGAAGCAGTGAGCCGGGCAGCCTCCATAGCCAGCTCCCGAAACACCTACTGAGGAGGCTGTGTTGGAGTCAGCTCGCGTGTTCCGCACAGTGAGCCCATGAAATTGATGAGAATGATAAGATGCCTCATTTTATCAACGAACAAACAAATAACAGCAGAGTCTGGGTTGCTCACTGAGAGGCTGAGTAACTTCCTGCCAGCCTGGCCGCTGAGCACACGTGCTGGGTGGCCTGGCTTTGTGGTCCATGGCTGTTCCTGAACACAGCCTGCACAGAGAAGGTGTCCCATGAAACTGAATGAATCCCCTCGACCAGCTGTGGTTTCAACCTTTCTCCTCTCCCTGCAATAACTAAGGTTCGAGATCAGGAAGGGGTAGCAAAAGGAAGTCTGGGAGTGGGCTAGTCACTCTAGCCTTGGGAGGGTGTCCAGGCTCATTTCCCTAAGTGCCAGCCTTGGAGATGTGACACTGATATCCCACACTGGGAACAATAACTTTTTTTAAATTTTGTTTTTTTGAGACAGAATCTTACTTTGTTGCCCAGGCTGGAATGCAGTGGCACAATCTCAGGTCACTGCAACCTCCGCCTCCCAGGTTCAAGCAAGTCTCCTGCCTCAGCCTCCCAGCTGGGACTACAGGTGTGTGCCACCATGCCTGGCTAATTTTTTTTTTGAGATGGAGTCGCTAAGCTTGAGTGCAGTGGTGCGATCTCAGCTGACTGCAATCTCTGCCTCCCAGGTTCCAGCAATTCTGTCTTAGCCTCCCGAGTAGCTGAGCTTACAAGCACCCACCATCATGCCCGGGTAATTTTCCTATTTTTAGTAGAGATGGGTTTTCACCATGTTGGCCAGGCTAGTCTCAAAGTCCTCACCTCAGGTAATCCACCTGCCTGGGCCTCCCAAAGTGCTGGGATTACAGGCGTGTACCACCATGCCTTGCTAATCTTTGTTTTGTTTTTGAGACAGAGTCTTGCTCTGTCACCCAGGCTGGAGTGATCTCAGCTCATTGCAACCTCTACCTCCCGGGTTCAAGCAATCTTCCCACCTCAGCCTCCCTAGTAGCTGGAATTATAGGCAAGCGCCACCATACCTGGCTAATTTTTATATTTTTAGTAGAGACAGGGTATCACCATATTGGCCAGGCTGAACTTGAACTCCTGACCTCAAGTGATCTGTCCACCTCAGCCTCCCAAAGTGCTGGGGTCACAGGCATAAGCCACAGCGCCTGGCCCACAGTTTGGCTTTGACTCTGCTCTACGTCTTCTGCATCCCAGAACCCTGGCAAGAGAGGGCTCTGGGATACAGAAGACATGAAGCAGAGCATCAAAGCACCTCTTTGATGCTTTCAAAGCTCCAGTGTGGTTCTGCCACTGTGCTTTTCCATCTGCCCTGAGCCTGGTGTCCCCCTGGTAGGGGCAGCCTCTCTTGCCAGGGTTCTGGGACACAGAAGACATGGGCAGAGTCAAAGCCAAACTGTGAAATGCATGTAATATGAGGAAGAAATAAACTTTTGAAAACCACTGAGACTGGAGGGTTATTATTGTATTGGATTTCTATTTGTTGCTGTACCAAATTACCACAAACCTAGTGGATTAAAACAACACCTGTTTATTACTTTACTGTTCTAGAGGTCAGACGTCCAAAACAGGTATCACTAGGTTCAAATCCAGGTGGCAGCAGGGTTCCTCGCTCTGGGAGTTCTAGGAGGCGTTTTCTTGCCTTTTCCAGCTTCCAGTGGCTGCTGGCATTCCCAGTTTATGACTTCCTTTTTCCCTCTCCAAAGACAGTGACTCGGCGTCTTCAAATCTCTCTGACTCTGACCCCGCTTCTGCCTCTCTCTCTCACTCTCTCTCTCTCTCTCTCTCTCTCTCTCTCTCTCTCTCTCTCTCTCTCTCTTTAAGAGGGAGTCTTGCTCTTGTTGCCCAGGATGGAGTGCAATGGCACAATCTCGGCTCACTGCAACCTCTGCCTCCTGGGTTCAAGAGATTGTCCTGCCTCTGTCTCCTGAGTAGCTGGATTACAGGCACCTGCCTCCACACCCCACTAATATTTGTATTTTTAGTAGAGACGAGGTTTCACCATGTTGGCCAGGATTGTCTCAAACTCTTGACCTCATGATCCACCCATCTCAGCCTCCCAAAGTACTGGGATTACAGGTGTGAGCCACTGCTTTTGGCCTCTCTCTTTCACTTTTAAGAATTCTCTTGCCGGGCACAGTGGCTCAAGCCTGTAATCCCAGCACTTTGGGAGGCTGAGGCGGGTGGATCACGAGGTCAAGAGATCGAGACCATCCTGGTCAACAAGGTGAAACCCCGTCTCTACTAAAAATACAAAAATTAGCTGGGCATGGTGGTGCACGCCTGTAGTCCCAACTACTCAGGAGGCTGAGGCAGGAGAATTCCTTGAACCCAGGAGGCGGAGGTTGCAGTGAGCTGAGATTGTGCCATTGCACTCCAGTCTGGGTAACAACAGCGAAACTCCGTCTCAAAAAAACAAAAAAGAATTAACTGAATCATTGGGCTCTTCAATCTGCCCGGATGATCTCTCCATCACAAGATCCTTAACTTGGCTGGGCACAGTGGCTCACACCTGTAATCCCAGCACTGTGGGAAGCCAAGGTGGGCAGATCATCTGAGGACAGGACTTTGAGACCAGCCTGGCCAACATGGCGAAACCCCTCCTCTACCAAAAATACAAAAATTAATGGGGCATGGTGGTGCATGCCTGTAATCCCAGCTACTTGGGAGGCTGAGGCAGGAGAATCACTTGAACCTGGGAGACGGAGGTTGCCATGAGCTGAGATCATGCCTCTGTGCTGATCCAGCCTGGGTGACAGAGCAAGAATCAGTCTCAAAAAAGATCCTTAACTGAATCACATCTGCAGTCTTTTTGCCATGTGAGACAACATAGTCTCAGGTCTGGGAAGTGGAATGTAGCCATCCTGGGGAGTCCATTATTCTGCCTGCTACAATTACCACAGCAAAATTTATACTATGCTAACTAACATACTATTTATGAAATTTATATTAATGTGAATATATAATTTATAAAATCATATATTAACATTGCATGCTATAAACGATACACATAAAAGGATATAACAGGATATCGATGGCCGGGCAGGGTGGCTTACACCTGTAATCCCAGCACTTTGGGAGGCTGAGGTGGGCAGATCACGAGGTCAAGAGATCGAGACCATCCTGGCCAACATGGTGAAACCCCGTCTCTACTAAAAAATACAAAAAAATTAGCTGGGCATGGTAGCATGTGCCTGTAGTCCCAGCTACTTGGGAGACTGAGGCAGGAGAATTGCTTGAACCCAGGAGGTGGAGGTTGCAGTAAGCCAAGATCGCACCACTGCACTCCAGCCTGGTGACAGAGCGAGACTGCATCTCAAAAAAAAAAGGATGCCCATAAAACATAGTAACATACCGCCAGCTCAGATAGTACACGCACGGCTAGGGCCAACAGCTCACGCCGGTAATCTCGGCACCTTTGGAGGCCAAGACAGAAGGATCATTTCAGTCCAGGAGTTGGAGACAAACCTGGGCAATACAGCAAGGCTCCATCTCTACACAAAATAAACTAGTCTGGCGTGGTGGCATGCCTTCAGTCCTAGCTACTCAAGAGGCTGAGGTGGAAGAATCACTTGAGCCCAGGAGTTCAAGGCTGCAATGAACTATTATAGTGGCTCATGCCTGTAATCCCAGCACTGTGGGAAACCAAAGTGGGCAGATCATGTGAGGACAGGACTTTGAGGGATTTGATGATAAATTCCACTCTGCCCAGTCTTGGTGACACAGCAAGACCCTGTCTCTAAAACATAAATAAATAAGAATATTAAAACTTTAAAAATAGAAAGATAGAAAAAAATGCAATTACTAAAAGAATGCTGGGATAACTACACTAATATATTAAAACAACTTTAGGCCAGGCGCGGTGGTTCATGCCTGTAATCCCAGCAACTTTGGGAGGCTGAAGCAGGCAGATCACGAGGTCAGGAGCTTGTGACCAGTCTGGCCAACATAGTAAGACCCCATCTCTACTAAAAATACAAAAAATTAGCCAGTTATGGTGGCACGCACCTGTAATCCCAGCTACTCAGGAGGCTGAGCCAGGAGAATCACGTGAATCCAGGAAGTGGAGGTTGCAGTGAGCTGAGATCTTGCCTCTGCACTCCAGCCCAGGTGACGGTCCAAGATTCCGTCTCAAAAAAAAAAAGTAATCAAATGGTAGGGTATAACAGGAACTCGACACATTTCAACACATTGCTGCACCGGGCCGGCAACGTTTAACTTAATTGTGTTGTTGTCAAAAAACACAGATTGGGTGGGTGTGGTGGCTCAAGCTTGTAATCCAAGCACTCTGAGAGTCCGAGGGGGCCTGATCACTGGAAGCAAGGAGTTCCAGACCCTCCTGGGCCAAGAATTTTGTAAAAAAAATACAAAAATTAGCTGGGGGTGGTGGGCTTGTGTCTATAGTCCCAGCTACTTGGGAGGCTGAGGTGGGAGGATCACTTGGGCCCAGGACATTGAGGCTGCAATAAGACAAAATCACACCACT